TTTAAGGGTTATCCGAAACCCTTGCAGATCCGGTTCCCACCAGGTCAGCACACAAAACGAGCAGCTGCTTACTCATTGCTCAGCTACAACGGTGCATTCAAGAAGATCTTGAAGTTGAACTCCTCGATACCACTCTTTCAGTTCAGTACTCAGATATCTAAGGCGTTGCACATGGTGTCCCCGAAAGCACCACCCGTCCGTGCAGCCGAACCTGCCGGGAGACATGCGGTGTCGGCCCCAGACTTTGGGCTTTTGGGGTTGGAGTGTCAGTATGACAGTGCAGCTATGGGGGCTTTACCAAATTGCCGTGAGTTTGCATGCATAAGGTGGCAACATCTGTAACAGTGGTAGAATGTTCGCAACCTGGAAGCAATCCCTCACAACATGGCTTTGCCGCCGGACGGCCATTGAACACACGATCAGACATGTTTCGATCCTGCACCATCAAGGCCCTTCTTTACATCGCATACCTTGCTCCGTTTTATTGGGAATTCAAGAAATCTGGTGGGCTGTAGGACTCGGGATGTTCGAGGGGCAGTTCCAGCTAGAAGATACATATTCCTTGAGTACCCCCATCTGTCCAGTTCTATGTACGTTTCATCCGGATGCCTCTTCGATCGTCTTCATAAACTCAAGAAATCCCCTACACCTTTGCGCCTAAGACTTTCAGACATTCTAGCGGCGGGTGGTTTGTGCCTCCAAAACCAAAGCGACTTGAACTGGTGGCTTGATTCTCCAGCATTCCAGTTGATGCGGAGTTCACATAAGGTTCAGGGTTCGCAGGCCAGCTTAACAAGTCAATGTGGAACCTAAGAAGCGCCACCCAGACTGCACGCTACAGACTAGGACAGGATGGTGCTCCCGTGTTAGCTTATGACTAGCATCCCCAGTTCAAGGTGTTGGGTTCATTCACGATCCGTGAACGTCTCTGATCCGGTTGAGTTAAATGCTCGTCTTGCGAAACCCTAACCTCGACATGTGGTGCATACCTCAAGACTTGATAAAATTCCGAGAGGGGGCCTCGTGAAAGTTTAAGGACACACGATATGCCCTGCAAGCTCTCAAAACTTACAATGCAGCAGTGAATGGAAGACTTTCCACCCCAGTTTCCGAGGCTCTGTCAAAGGGTTGGGCTGAACACGGGAATTAAGTTCACAGGACATAGGAAACAGATTTCGAGCCTGTACGAAAGCCATCAAACCCTAAACCCGCTCGTGCCAGAGGATGCTTGGATGGGTATACGATTGTGTTCCCAATGTTCGGACTTTTGGAAATTCGTTCCTTCGAGTGTTATGACATGAAAACGTGTAGGGTTGAGGCGTTGGTTGGTACCCTTCGGTGCCGACGGTCGGCAGAGATTGTCCCACTCGTGAGCTTGTGCCATTGTGCCAGTGATCTGAAAACGTTCCGAGGCTTGTTTGCAGGTTTCTCGCCGAGGGCGCAATCTTGGGATTCGGGCTTCCGTCTGCAGGGCGCAAGCATGATACGCATCTTGGAGAATTGCAGGCAATATCTTTAGATCTTGTGCTGAGGATTGTGTTCAAGCAACGTAGCACATACATTCCGATGCAACGTGGGGGTTGATCCGGGCCATGATTGCAGCAGTTAGTGTCCTTGGATTGCTTCGTATGAAGCTTGGCATCATAACACGCACTCGTACAACCATGATACTTTCGGGGCAGAGGTTGTAGCTGTCTCTCGGCCGGCAAATGTTGCTGTCTTGCCCACACGATTCCTCTCCTGCAGGCGCCAGAGATGACTCCGCTGGCAGCAAGCCAAGTTCCCAACATCCCTCCTCCGCCTGCAAAAAAACCTCCACCACCAGTGCCGCAGCAGCTGGAACAGCCAGCAAGCACCATCCAAGTTTCTCGCTGGCGTAGGGCTGCAGCTCGAGACCCCCATCCAGCATGAGGCATAAGTGAGCCCCGTTGAAATCCGCAGCGAGACTGCGCAATGCCAATTTGGCCAACATTTTAAGTCAGAGATGATTTTTGGCGCTTCTGGCAGCATCGGCTGGTGACGCTGATTGCTGCCGGGAACTCAGTGAGCAGGAGGCTCTTTGTTATCCTACTGGGAAAGACTTTGAGGAGGCATGCAATTCCAGAAGAGGGAAAATTTTGGAAGGACTATGTAAGACGCAAGCGCGCCTTTTGGATTTGGCCACTTCCCGAGAAGGGCCCCAAGCTTTCTTGAGAGCCTGAACCTTCAACCGCCTCCGAAACATAGGTTCCAAAAGCAACACAACCGTGATCGCGCTCTTGCTTCCCAGGTCGGATGCCTTCTGAGGCTGTGAGAGAGCCACCTGGGATTCTAGATTGCGAGGCTTAGTGCTTGTGCATAACACTTTCATGCTTAGGGCTCTAGGGCTCTTTGGAGAGCTTTGGGGCGTCGACTGTGTGGACTCTGGACTTAAGAGGGTCTAGCTTGCAAAGCTTCTGTAGGCGACCTGACGTCTGTGGGGAGCGAGGGAACAATACCTGGACCAGTATGTTGAAGCTTCCATGCCGTTTCTGTCACCCGCAACGTGAAAAGTTCTACAGATGTTGGGCGCAACTTCGCTTATTTGGATGGACCAGAACCAAGAGGTTCGGTTTGGCAGATGTCGGCATGTTCTTGCAAACCGCACGCGAATGTCAAAGCCCCACCCGCTGGCATGCAGGATTGATTCCTGAAGCCCCAGCCCGAAAGCACGTTTGAACTAGTCGGAATTTAAGATAGGGGCTTCCAGCTACCTTTTTGCCAACAGACCCGCTGTCCGGGCTCCATCCCAGAATGAGCCTCAGATGCGTTAGGGGTTGTTTGCTTGCTACTGCCTTGAACCTGGTTCTGAGCAAAGAGCCACGAGACCGTGACGGGAGTTTGGCAGCGCTTGGTTAAGGGCAGGCGCTGCGTTCGCTGTGCGCGAATACCCGAGGGCCAGAAAATTTGAGAGTGTGAGCGGGGCTACTTGGATGCTTTGAGGCCTTGGATTGGAGAGCACCATCATACTATATGATCAACGCGAGTGTTATGGCAAACATTGCCAAATCTTTCTTTGAGGAATGTTACTGTCGAGGAGTTTAGATTTTGCCTCGTGCCAGATGGGCTTTTGCTGCTTTCGAACAGGTTTCGGGAGTATGGGTTCGGCTTTCTTGGGTCAGACGTTGCGTCTCGGAGATCTCCCTGCTATTGATGGATGTCGCAACTCACGAACCTGAGCCCCAAACCCTTCTAGGCTCATTCTCGAACTCAGGAAACACCCCAACACATCGGAAGCCCTGCAGATACACTGTCCCCCACGCAGGGGCATGAAGACATCTGTCGCGAAGGTCGCGTGCCACTCGGGCGTCCATCGAATCTAATCTGTCGGTGTGCCATCAAAGCGAGAGCAATGACAAATCTCAATCCGGCTTGATCCATGCATAGATGCATTGCTACATGAGTTCCAAGCATGTACTTGCTGCATGCATATACATGCTTCAGGTGAGTCTGTCTAAAACCTAGTAAATCAATGGCCAACAACAAGCACCAAATTCACAACAACGCACGGAATCCGGTCCACTGCTTTGCCATTGATGTTTTCTTGTGCGAATTGTTGCGCCGTCTTGATGCTGACATTGCAGGTACTAGAGCACGAGGTGGTGCTCCCGAGACTTGTTTCGCAAGAGCAGTTGGCACAGTTGTTTTCATTTTGCGACAGTCACGAACCTCTTGCACGATCAGCCACTTAGTCGCTACCACGACATGTTTGCCACAAGAGTGCGCTGCGGAGCACACGCAGCTGTTGCCTGCAATGGCCACGCAAATGCCTCAGGCACATTTCTTGCACACGATATAGCCTTTGCAGTTGACTTGGCACGGTTTTCCTTGCGTATGTATTTGCAGAAAGAAAACCAAGCTGGCCATTGTTGTACGAGCTTTCTATCTAAGAACCTTACCTGACTCAGAACCCTGTTGAGCATGATTACATGAACTGAAATAACGGTTTTTACAAAAAATGACATGTAGAAACGTTTGTCGAAATACTTAATAAATATGTTTCTTTCAGTGGTGGTGGTAGTAGTAGTGGTAGTAGTAGTAGTACATAAATTTTCTGAGAAATGGAATCTTAAACACTAAAATACGAACGATCTACTCCGGAGAACAAAACACTAGAGTTCATCTTACTTTTTGAACCCACCTCCCCACGGCAGCCTGCCCAAAAAAATTCTGGAATACATGGAGCAGGAGACGTGCTCTCCCGAGTCTCATGCCCCTAGGTTTCCTGGATTTTTGAGCCTGAGGCGTTTGCCCGTGAATTTCGTTCCAAAATTCTCGGTAAATTTTGTTGTAAAAGATGCTGCTTCGCGAGAACTCAAATTTTCAAGAAATGCTAGGACGGTCCGTCTCTGGAACATTTCATGGACGCGAAATTTTTGCTCTTGTATCCTACAGCCATGGTCCGCTATTTGTGTTTGTGCGATGAGTTCAAGTATCTAAGCAACCAAACTGCAGGAAATTTTGTTCGGCTCTCCGATTTTATCTCTCTCTCTCTCTCTCTCTCGCTTGGTTTTTCGGATTCTCTTCTCTTTTTCTCGGGTTTCTGAGATTGTCTTCTCTTCTTCTGATTTTCTCTATTTTTTATTTGGGTTTTTCTCACTCTTGGATTTCATTCTATTCTTCGGTTTCTTCTCTTATCTGTCCAGGTTTCTTCTCGAGTTTTCTTTTCTCTCTTAGTTTCGCGAATTCTCGAATGGGTTTTTTCTTTTCGTTTCTCGGATTATCTGTTGCCCCTGATGTTCTAGGATTATCGGATTCTTGTCTCTTTCCATTTCTTTGATTTTCTTGTCTCGACCGGTTTCTCAGAATCTTCTCTCGAACAGAAGGAAGACTTCTA